ATGAGGATAATAATGCCTGCCTTGCTTGCCTCATGAGATCGAGGCAAAGATCAAATGAGATAATGCATGTGAAAGCACTTTTAAAAGTCATAAAGACAGCCTATAAAAGTGCAAGGTACTTATTACTGTTAATAATATTAAGTATTATTATTTTTGTTGACAATACTATATTAGGTAATTCATATACCAATTATTTATGATCAGTTTTGTTCCATGAATGTTTATTTGCCTAGGATACATGGCTTAGAATTAAATTAAACCATGTGTATTTTATTTTAGTTTAGACTCAAGAAATACTCAGCCATAGACTATTTAAAGAGTGTATTACAATGAATAATCACAATAATTCCCCTCAGTCTCTCTCAACTTATGATTAAAGCATATCCAATGATACCCTTCTATCCATTATTTTTAGTTAGTATTCTTTTAGTGAATCCTTTATTACATCAGTTCTCATGATACTTGATGACGCATAATAGCCTCATGTCCTTTATCCTCTCCAAAGCAATTTACCAATATTCGTTAATTAATATTCAAATGCCTTTATGAACCAAGCATTGTTTCTTCAACAAGCTGCTTTTTGTTTTTAGCTTATAATCCTACCCTAACTTATTTGAGGGAAGGGGGGGAGGCAAAGAAATCAGACCAGTAATTTTACTAGTGTAGACAACTCCATCTACCAATGCAGATCAACACCCACTCTGAGTCCTGTCATTTTGGAGAGTTGCCTGGAACACAGAGAGATTAAGTGACTTTCCTAGGGTCACACAGCCAGCATGTGTCAGAGTCAGAACTTGAACCCAGGTCTTCCTAAATTGGAGATTTGTTCTCTATCCACTGTACTACCTACCTCTCATAACACCATCCCCCAACCAACACCAATACCAAGTATTATTATCACTACATAAAGAATATATTTTTAATTCCCAGAATTACATGAATTCAAATAAGAAAAAGTTAATTACCCTTTAATAATTTTTGTCCTTAAAATCAGGAAGCTATAGAATGGTCTGAGATTATTATCTATATCTCAGCTATAGAACAGTCTGAGACAGTTAATATCAGGGAGGTTGAGGGGGGAAGTAGCTAGGACAAGTTCCAAGTATGTGTGTAGAGGGGAGGAGATATGCCTAGAAAAAGTTACTCCTGAGTACCTGCTCTTCTCCAAGAAACCAGTGTTGCAATGCTGCTTTCTTGGCAGCCAAGGGACATCTTTTCTGTTCTTCTCACCCCCAAAGAATTGAGACACCCCACCTCGGTCTTTTTATTGTGGTATAAAAACTCATACTGTAGACTTTTCTTGATGTCATGCTTCAACAAAGCTTTCCTGTCTAGTACCATTCCTTCAAGGCTCCCCATTCAAAGACAACTAATAGATTTGGTAACATAAGTCACTAGCATCAACATAATGTAGTCTAACAAGCCTTGGATTTGAAATCTCTGATACTGACCTCAAATCTTCAACTCTACTATTTACTATTAGTATGACCTCAAGTAAGTCATTCAGTGTCTCTAAGCCTCACTTTACTCAACTGTAAAGTGAAGGATTAAGTAAAGGTCTCTTCTAACTCTCAATCCCATGATTCAACATCAAAGGTGAACATCGTTACCCTTCTAAGACAATGTGTGAACATAGAGGCCCCTTTGGGGCCACCTCGTCCACTGCTCGCATTTTGCAGATGAAAAAATTGAATCCAGGACAAAATTACTTTGGATTTAATGCATATCTAGAAACTGAACCCTGAATTAGGATGTTCATAAAGGCAAATCTCACTAAAATAATGGCATCTAGAAACAACAATAACAATAGCTAGTGTGAACATAGCACTTTAATATTTGTGGAGCACTTCAAAAATAGTATTATCATTTGATCCTCACAACAATCCTGGAAGGTAGAGGATATTATTATTCTTATTTGATAGATGAGGAAACTGAGGCAGGCAGATCTTAAGTGACTTGCTTAGGGTTACATCTCTATGAAGTACTTAGATTTGATCTCAGGCCTTCCTGATTCCAAATATAGCACTCTATCCACTGTGCTACTGATTAGGTGTGGGCCCCTAAGGGAATCTGGCTCCCATTTGTCTACATGCCCCAGCTCCTTATTTCCCTTTGAAAGCCCTAGTTCTACCTTTTGATCTTATCCAGATGTACCTTAGGCCCTTGCCCTGAAAAGAATCTGTCTCCCATTTTAGGTTCCTTATCTACTCCCCTTATCTCCCTTTGAAAGCCCTAGCTCCACCTTTTTGATCTCATTCAGATGCCTTTCAATTCCCTTCATTATCTATTCCCATTGTCTGTTCAATCTCTCAGACCTTCCAATCTGAATTCTTACCTAGACCCTTTTCCCAGCCCCCTCCTCTGGCCACCCAAAGTTACTTTAGTGTATAAGATCCACCCTAGCCCCCATTCAAACTCTGAGAATCTCTCATGCCCACTCGTCCTTATGGGCATCACCTGGCCTACATGATTTATCTCTAATAAACTTCTCTGGCTGGAAGATTTGGGTTAAATTCATTCAGACAGGGCCCCACTTCACAATCTTGGGGTTCCAGCACCCCTAAACCTCTAGACCTCATCACTACCTAGCTGCCTCGCTAAAAAAATTAGTTCAGGTTAGAACGTTTATGAAGTAGAAGTTGCTTTATGCCTCACTATGTATGTGAGAAATATAACTAGAGCTTCAGCCTAGACAAAACCACACAGTAATAGGGTTCTGTACATTGAGAGTTTATTAGCCATGACAAAAGAGCATTTTTAATGTCTTAAATGTATTTCTTTTTACCAATACTATTTTAATTTAATGGTTCTTGGCATCAGAACAAATTCAGCTTGACTCTTCATGCCGTTGAGAGAAGTGTTGAAAAACCAAAGCCAAGAAATTCTTCCTCTAGATCATTTCCTTTGCCCCTTCCTCTTGAACTGTTTGTTCATCAACACTAGTATTCCATACTTGCAAGCATACTGGGGAAACACCAATTCCTCCACTAATTCTTGAAGTAATTGGCTTGATATATTCTGATGAGAGTCATTAGACCATTTGACAGTCAGATTAACAGCTATCTGCCAATTATCTGCCAACAGTCCTCTTAACAGGATCTCTCTTTACCAGCATTTCCCCTCTCCTACTCTTTCATAGTTCCTAATACCTGTTTTAGAGTCAAAGATCTGAATTCACGTCCCACTGCCTCCCCAATATGTTTCTGGTAGTGATTCCTCTATAGAAAAAAAAAACTTCTTGAAACAATGGGTTTGATGGCTGTTATCACATTTAGTCAATAACAGACAATCCCAATTATCACAATTTTCCTTGCCAAAAAAAAAAAGAAAGAAAGAAGAAAGGAATTGAAAGCAATTTTCAACAAATGGGCAAATACAAGTCAATTTGCAGTAAAAATCAATAAGGTTAATCCTGATTGTCCATGAAGATCAATAAGATAAAGATGGGTCATCTTTGATTAATGTAGTTTTCAGCTATTTAAAAAACAATGAGGCCACGATGGTCAATATTCTCTGACACATCACACCAAGGTAGGTTGTTTGGTGGACCCTGGGCATCCTCCAGCACTACCTAGAATTACATAATCCATCCTGTCTGACATAGGCCACCAAGTGAGCAAAATATGTAAGGGAAGAGGATATGTCAATAGAGGAGTAGTCAAAGACAGGTGGAAAAGAGAACTTTCTGGGGCAATATGAGAAGGATCTAGAATGAGTGGTACTATGGATCAGAGATCTGAACAAGGTTATTGCATTTAGACATCTAATTTTTGGCATGAAATTGTGTAGTTGTAATGTAGAAAGACAGAGAAAGGCTTATGGAAAGCCAGAAAGGTGGAATATGCTGGGAATACTATAATAAAGTTCCCAGAACCTGCAGTTGTTTAGATATAATAATTCCCTTCTCCAAGGAGTTCATTTGATTAAATTCAGATGATACATAGTCTTTGAGAGATAGAGAAAAAAATTAGCTGATAACTTGTAAACAATTAACTTTTCTTCCAATTTGACTCAAAGCAATATAGAAATTAGGATTTGTAAAAGAAATATCAATGTAAATTACTTTGAATAATGAGTCATTTATCTACTTCTGGGAAATTTCTAGGGTCATGCTTTTGATCAATATAAAGACAATTTAATGGGGGAAAAGGAGCAAATAACATACCACCATCTGAGAATGGAGTAATAAGTCTACTTGTTCTTTTATCTCAAAGCTTGCTCCAGTATTTTGCATACAGCAGATGCTTCCTAAGTATTTGTTTAATTGAATTGAATTTTCCAGATCTTTTCTTTCTTCCTATTTTTCAAACTAAGTTAAACTAAGTCAGGATGAATCCATGAGCTCATTCCTCTGGGATCTAGTAAATTGCTTTTAACTCTGCTGAATGGCAGTTTAATCAGTAACCCCTGGGTGCTCATACCAAGGAGGTCATGATAAATGCACACTGATCAGAGCAAATGGAATCAGAAACAACTTATTGGCTATGAAGAGCACCTCATAAATACAACAGCTCCCCTTTAATTCTGATTTCAAATGAGCACCTCGTTGCTCTCCCAATTCACTTGTTAGTCTCTTCCTACAGCCTCCAAACACATACATATTTTTAACATTTCTTTCTGCAATAATTAGTCATCCCAGTATTTGATGAGAAATAAACAGATTCTCTAAACCAGAGAGCTCCCAGAAGTTCCCCCCAAAATCTGTGAGTACTACAACTAGAAGGCCTATCATATAGGTAAGATGAAAAGAAAAGGGGGGAAAAGGAGAAAAAAAAATGGTATTTGAGAGTAAGTGGAAGAGGACAGAAAAAGGAGAGAAAGAAAAAAGGTAAAAAAAAATTTTAGAGACGTGTGTGATGGGGAATGAATGGTAGAAGGCCATTGTCACTGCTACACAGTGACCCGTCTTACAGACTGCCAACCCTTACTCTAAAATCTAACCCAACCCTTTTCTTTCTCCACAGAGAATACACAACAGCAGCTCCTTACATACAGGTTACCTGGATGAGTTCGTCCAGCTCAGTTGCATTGACACAAGAGTGTTGAGATATGAATGTCTGCTTCTGAATCACAATGGTGGTCCTCCGTGAAATCTCATGAGGTTGCTCCAGAGCTTTGAACACAGTGGCTCCAATGATCAGATACACGACAACCACCAGGAAAATCGTGGAGACTGTCTTCCATTTCATAACATTAATAGTTGTGTCACTCTCCACCCGGGAAGAAAGTACTGTGGGCTTCGTAGAAAAGGAGAGCCTCGGTTTGGAGTTCTGAGTGGCAGATTTAGGATCCAGCAAGTCAGGTGCCGCCACTAGTAATAACAGAGAAGGAGTATTAAGTTGGAGTTGATTTAGGGTGTTCTGGTTGGGTGACTTTTTTTTTAATGGGGCCAGCATAACTTATTTCAACTCTCCTTGCTTTCCTGGTAGAAGGTAGCTGAGCTCTAATATTCAGACCAGATATCACTTCCTAGAATCTCAGATCTAGTAGCCTATATATGGGTACTTGTCCAGAGAAAGTGTTGGGATCTTTATTCTCAGGATTTCATGTGGTACTGAGAAAAGAAAGAAGAGGTGGACCTGGAAACTTGAACAAAGATGAGAATTTGCAAAGAATTCCCTTTTAAAATTCCAAATTCATAGTCTTTTGCTATAGCAAGATACTTTTTATAGCCATCTTCTGTGCTAGAAAATAAATGGGGTTTTGTTTGAGTCCTATATGCTTGAAATACATTAAAAAAAGAAAAACACTCACAGCCTCTGTTCTCAAGCAGCTTACAATCAGAACAGTCAGAACAACATAAGAAACAATTTGTTATTTTGCCATTTAAAGTAAGCATTATTTTTGTACCTTAAGGTCCTTAAGATACCAACACTTTTGAAAATAGCAAATATGCAGTATTTATAATGTCACTGAACCTTCTTTGCATCATGTAAGCTCTTTTTCCTAGTGTCCAATGGGACCACAAAATAAAATTTCCTCTTTCTTTCATTCTTTTAAATTGTGGCATGTTCAAAAAAGGAAATTCATTGCTACTTACAGAAACACAATCCTAGGTACAACTCACAAGTATTTGGACAACAATCAATCATCCAGAAAAAGAAATTTAAACTTTGTCTCCTACCCCTGTACTCTTGTACCCTCCATGATCTGTAAAAAGATAATTGCTCCATTAGTGTATATTTATATGTCCTCTTACAAATTCTCATACACTTTGCTGTAACTATGAAGCCATTTATTATTCATCTCAGCTATTCAAAAATATCATTAATGGATTCCCTTTTAGAAAATAAAAGAAATATCAGAATTCTACAGTGTTGCAGGAGGGGAAGAAGGGAATCAAACATCTACTAAAGGACATTTGATTATATCTATGTCAACAAACCACTGGAATGACAGTGTTTCACTGAAAGTTTTAACCAAAATATTTTTGACTTATGACCTTACAAGTATAGTATCTTACACACAATAGCCACTTAATAAATGTTTGTTGATTGTTAGATGGAAATGGATTAGAAGTATCTACATGAGCCCAGACAGAAAAGACTGTAGTATCAAGTTCCCTAAGTATATAGTCATAGAATGAATTAATATACTTCATAATTCAATACTTCAGTAAATGAATTTACCATATTGTACATTATAGATATTAATGTTGATGATGTGAGATACACATTAGGTAGTCATGTGAGAAATTCAAAGATAACTGAATATTTAAGAACACATATGTAGTAAAGAGTGAAGTCAAAATGTCATATTTCACATGTCTAATCCCTCTCCCAGATTATCCTCTATGAGTTAAACTATACAGCTACCAACCACAGTTTCATTTCATAAAATAAATCTACAGTAGCACTTAGGCTAGAAGCTTTGTACACAAAGCTATTTAAAGCTCTGGGCTTCAGCACAGCTGTAATGTGGTGGCGGATGAAAAAATGGTCTCTTCATTGAGTAGAACTCATACCCCTTTTTCATTTTTCTCCAAAAAAAGTGAGTTCACAGCTGTAAACCAATATAGCATGTTTCTTTCACCTACTAAAAAAAAAATTAAAAAGGAAATGTTCTGAGGACACCTTAATATGTATCCAGACAGATAAATATCTACATGGATATGTGTTTATCTTCCCCCCCCAAGTATATTCAGCTGCACTAAATAATGCCAGTGGTTAAAACCATTATTATTACTTTTTGAAAGATAATTATTATATAACTGAATATAACATGAATGTGTTTAACCTTATATAATTAAGAAAATTCAAAGCTCAGACTTCCTAAATGAGGATTCTTTTCAGAGTCACTGTCCTCAAGGAAAAATAAAATAAACATAATAAGGCTTGATTAGATAGATAGACAGACAAGCTCTATTGGCATATCTGGGTGATAAATAACGATACTAATGACAAATAATACAAACTCAAACAATCATTGAGCAGAACAGAATAGAATTGAACAGTGTTTATGCTCCCACACTGCACTTAACCTTTGGAAGAAATCTCAGAGCTCCCCTAAATCCCATCAACACACAGACACAGACAATCCTTTAAATCGGTGTTTTCTAACCTGAAGAATCTGGGAACCTTTGAAAATTACTGCTTCTCAAAAGATCATGGCACCTTTCCTTATGCACTTATAACAGTCACTCAATTTATTACTGGAAGAAGTCCAAATTTATCTTTTTAAAATTCAAAGAAATCTACTTCTCCCCAGCAATTAAAACTTTTTCAATTACCAAAAACAAGTGAGAGGTCTATTCTAATAATTGAGTATATTGAAATTTTGGCGAAATCTCAGATAAAAACCAAAAATAATCTTTTTTTTCCAAGTCAAATATGGGAAACCAGTGAGTTTGTAACTTTGCTTGGTATAAGCCTTTGGCTTCCTTTGGGAAGCCACTCAGAGAAAAGAAATAGAGGTTGTATCTTTCCTTACTCTCCTTTCTCCCTCAGCAAAGAGGGCTCCTAAACTAATAACAGGCTATTCTTAAGCAGATGCTCCCCATCCTCACCCATTTACTTATCCTTCAAACAGACTCTTCGGGGGTTCTGACAGGAGACCTGATGCTGGCAGAAGCCAGACTTCAGCACCACTTATTCTCTTCACACAGCTAGCAACAAGTGTGGACAACCACCGCATAACATAACCCTACACAATCCTAACCTCCCTCTCCCCCTCATAGACCCCTCCTTCTATTCCCCTTCCCCCCGCCCTCCGCATCACAAATCTTTCAAAATATTCAAAGCAAAAACTCAATGCAAATGCAAAAGTCCGGGATGCTAGTGGGGTGAGGGAAGTAAAAATAGGGGAAAGAAGGAGGGGTTAGGTTAGGATGGGGGGGGGAAGTGTTTGCCCCTAAATGATCTGCTCGCCAAGTGAGAGCCAAGGTGTTGACCTTAAACGGAGTCCGGATGGGCTACACAGCTTGGAGAAAGCCAGGCGACTGTCCCCTAGGATGAAGCGGCCCCCGGAGACCGGAGGGATGACGCCTGGGAACAAGGGATTTACCTCCCGCACTGGAGCCGGCTGTCTCCTGCGAGGAACTGGAAAGCATGAGGCATGCATGCAGCATTCAAAACCGGGAAAGGTGTTGGGGCAGGGGGGTAGGCTTAAGGGGAGGGGGCCTCGAAGCTTTTAAAAAACAAGTCAAGATACTCACTTCTTATTCACAGACTGGCTGCGCGCTCCGAGTTTCAGGGGCAGGCATTTTCCCAGTCTTTGTTTTATGGGGGGGGGGGGAGGCAGGAGGGAGCGGGGGAGGGGGAAATAGACTTGAATCGAAAAGGTGGGGGGTGAGGACGGGGTGGGGGGGGAAGGACTGGTGGATGGCTTGCTGCAAAGAGGCGAGAAGTTGGGTCCTCCTGCCCCTAGCCCCCCTGCAAGGCCCCCCAGGCCAAGGGGGAGCAAGGCGCTGCTTGGGAGCTCTAGAGCTGCGTCTGTCACCGGATGGTGAGCAAGAGAGAGCCGGAGTGGGGCTGCTGCCACCGCCACCGCCCGGGGGGCTCCCAGGCTCTCCCTCGCCTCCTCGCTCCGTCACCGGGAGCCTTTGTGTCAATCGGTCCTGTCTGCGAGTCTGTCCGCCCTGCTGTCTTTGTGTGAGAATCTCGCTCGGTCCCTCTTTGCATGTCTTTGTGTGTCTCCTCTTGAAAGTCTCCCCCACACGCACACCCCCAATGCGTGAGCGCGAGTGTATAAGCCTGTGTATGTGTGTATCTGTGCGTGTGCGTGTGTGTGTGTGTGCGTGTGTGTGTGTGTGTGTGTGTGTGTGTGTGTGTGTGTGACACAGTCACCGTGTGGCTCCCTTTTCCTTCCTCCACCTCTGCCTGCTTCCCCTCCTCTCCCTTCTCTTTGCTTCTCTCCCTCCCTTTCTCCCCCTCCACCGCCCCTCCATAGCCTTTCTCCTTTCCCTCCTTTCAATCTTCCCTCCTACTTGTCTCCTCCTTCCTCCCTACCTTTGCTCTTCGCTTGTCAGTCCTCCCCCTAATTCCCGACAACCTCTACCACTCTGCCACCTTCTGCCTATGGCTTCGTCTCTGATCTGTGCCCCTTTCCCTGGCTGGAAATGGAACTCCGTTGCGCTCAATTGGCTTCTCTTCCTCTCTGTGCCCTGGTCCCTGACCCTGCCACCATTTTCTCCAAAACCAAGTGACACCCACTATTCTCAGGTATATGGTACTCTAGTCTCAGTACCCCACCCAATCCCCAACCTCGTCCCTGGAATCCATGCACTGGTCCCTCATAGCTGAAGGAAGGAGACAGGATGTCTTGAGTCCTTAAGATGGTTCCACGTGGTCTTCCCTCTCTCTGGGACCTTCCATCTGACGGTGGCACTCTGCTCTTGCTAGAGAGCCTAAGGGTAATTGTGCAGAAAAGAGACCCCAATAGTTGGTCTTCCTCTCTCTTACTTGGTACCGATGTGAGAAAGTCCATCTGTCCTCTTCTCTGCCAAGCTATCATCCCAGCAACAACTGATGCTTCTTCCTTTATTCCCCAAGAGAACTCTGACCAACCCTTGATTTGACAGGATTGGGGAGGTGGGGGTGGAGGGGACGGGGAGAACAGATGTGTCAAGGACAAAAACACTAAAGAGGGATGCTGAAGGATGAAAGAGGAGAAAGCACGGTCTTCTACGGAAACTACCAGTTGCCAAGAGTTCGTGGACGTACAAAGTGTACTACTTCAGTGGGGGCAGGAGGGTAGCAGAAATCGGATGAATGAGATCAGCCCCCTCCTCCACCACTCTGAAGTCCTCCTGGCTTTGGCAGCAGGATACTCTAAACTTGTGGCCATAGCCTGCTTAACACAGCAGTTGGAAGAATAGGAGGAGAGGAAAGGGTGTTTAGATTAGAAACTCCTATGCTAACAGATAAATCATTTCACAGTACACAAATGATTTAACAGGAATAGAACCAAAGCTCTCAGAGTAAATTATTTTCCCTTTCCAGGGCTGCAGCATGAATTGCCTGCTGTGTTCCACCCTCCCACCCCACCAACCACACCAAATTTACCTTCTGTAACAGCAGTAAGTCATGGCAAATAGGAGTGCATGTCCTGTAATAAGTAGACCTTCCTGGTGAAACCCAGAGACCCTGTGAACCTGGAAGGTGACTTCTGGGGCACAACAGAGCTGCAAGTTACCTTTAATAAGACTAAGAAATTTTGTAGCTACCTTTGTTCTTTTAAAATGTTCAGAGCAGTTTCTAGATCCCTCTCTCCCAGTCTCTTGCCTTTGTAACTATACTGTACTGTCATAGCTCCTGCGTGTGTCCAAAAGTTTTTAACTTTAGCCTCTTCCAACTCCATATCCTTTTCTTCTATTAACGAAAAAGAAAAATCTCAACTTACTAACCATCATTCCAAATTTCCCTTCAGGTTTCTGAAGACTGGGTGTATTCCTAGTCATGAAATTTATACATATTCTGAACATCATTTTTATTCTCTTCTCACATTGTTCCAGGCTAAATGACTCCAGTTCCTCTCTCACTTTTCTTCCTTTATCCTTTTTTCCAGTCCCCAACTCATTGGATTTATTTTTTTCCTTCTTTCCTCTGCATTCTGTAAAAATCAACCACATCTTACTCAAGTTGTGGACCTCCAAGTCAGACCAAGGGCTGACTAATGCTAAATATGGTGGGAAGTTACTTCACAGTTCCTTCATACCATAGACCCAATAAAATGTTTCCTTTTCCCCAAAAACAGTGTATGGTTGACATTTTCAGCTAGTGGTTCACCACAAGATCCAAATATCTGTTCATTTTGAAAACTGTCAGTCCTTCCTCATCTCTATGTATAGCAAACAAACTGCCTCAATTTCACCCTTGCATCACTCCCTGGATTGACCCTGCCTTCCTGAATGTAGGAGAAATATTTAAGAACAAATGTGCTTTGCAAATAGATTTTTAAAAAAATTTATAAAAACTTTTTCTCAAAAGAATCGCAACAAATTAATTTGTGGACCTATCTTTCTTTTCTTGTATACACAAGTTTATGAGACCAATAAACTATTCTTTACATGGCTATCATTCATGTTCACCAGCACCATCCCTCAATGTTCCTGCCTATAAGCACCTCCTCTTACATATTCAAAGACCAGCACGATATAAGGGGCAGCGTCATCTTGAATCACATATCCTCAGTCACTCAGTGTTTGAAGCAAGAGCAAAAAAAAAAAAAGTAGGCTGGTTTGTATATCATTTCATTTGGGGAAAGAAGGAAATGGGATGGTTTATCCTGTTTACATTTATGCCAATGTCATTGGGAAAATAGAAAATCCCACAAGACCGTTTTATAAAGGGCCAAGTTTGATTCCATTTCTTTTACTAATTTCCTTGAGACCTATACTGACTTCCTTTTTTCTAGGAACATCTACTAATTTGCATAGCATTTAGAATAGGGAATTTAGAAATATCACCTAGTAGCAAGATTCAATTGAAGAAATGCCACAATGCTGTTTCCCAACTTTCACTTAACTCAAGCAGCAGATCTAAATACCCTGAACTCAGTCTAACATTTATTTTGCTATGCAACCTTGGCCTATTCAAAATGACATGATAAAAATGGGTATGTCATTGGAACAATTCTTCAAAATCCTGATTAGACCAGTAACCTAGTTGGAGACATAGTGTTTGTGTTTGCTCAGGGCCACCAGCAATAAGCAAGGTCATCACTTGTTTCTTAACTAAGGTTGTTGTTTAGTTAACCCAGTTAGGGCTGAGTGTTGAAGTCAATTACCCAACTAAAATATGGGGAGTCTTTATTTATGGGAAACATAGCTAGAAATTTTAGTTGACTAAAAACACAATGTAAGCCAGTTGTCGAATATAGTGGCACCCTAAAGCAATCTAATCTTGCAATACCCCAGTGATCTGTGATTTATTTCATCAGCATGAGTGTTCCCTTTCCCTCAAGGATTTGGTAGCTTATGTTTAAAAGTTGCTATGGCCAAAAAGTTCATTACTTTGTAGTCAATCGGGTGATGATCCTCTCTGAAATTAGAGAGACCAGTCTTCAAATAAAAGATATGTAGTTAAGCAGAGTCCAGACTTGATAGAAACTGATTGAACTTCAGTTCCACCAGCATAACTTTTAAGAGCCCAGGGTTTACTCTATACCAAAAGCCAGTTAGATGGTGAAGTGGATAAAGTTTTGGACTTGGAGCAATGAAGACCTAAGTTCAAATCTAGCATCAGACACTAGCTGTGTGACCCTGGGTAAATGACTTAACAATCTGTCTGCCTTAGTTTCCTCATTTGTAAAATGAAGATAATAATTGCACCTAATCCCCATGGTTATTGTGAGGATCAAAGGAGATATTTGTAAAGTGCTTTGTAAACCTTAAAGAATTATATAAGTGCATAAATGCTAGCTATTAGGTTATTAAATATCAGAAAGGACCCTAGGGGAGGAATGAAGTCTCAGGTTACACTAAGAGAAACATGATGTCCAGAAAAAATAAGGCAATAGAAGCATTATATTAAATACTATTCACATTACACCTGGATCACATATTCAGTTCATGAACTGCATTCTAATATAGGCATTGACAACAACAATAGCTAGCACTTATATAATGCACTAAAGTTTACAAAGAGTATTGCACATATCATCTCATTTGACAAAGTGGATTGAAATCACAGGTGAGTGAACAAGATTGTGTTTATTATTGGTCAGTCATTTTTCAGTCATGTCATACTTTGTGACCGAATTTGGGGTTTTCTTGGCAAAGATACTAGAGTGGTTTGCCATTTCCTTCTCCAACTCGTTTCACAGAGGCAAGTGGAATTAAGTGACTTGCCCAGGATCACACAGGTAGTCGGTGTCTGAGGCCGGGTTGAAACTCAAGATGTCTTCTAGCTCCAGCACTCTATCCACTGTGCCACCTAGTAATAATATATGAAAAGCTATTAAAGGAACTTGAGTTTTTAATCACAGGCAGGGAGGAAAGGAGGATCACAGCAGTCATTTTTTTTCAATATTTGGAGGGATATTATTTCTATATGGAATTAGTTTTATTTCATATAACTTCTGAGGCAGGGGTAGTATAGCAACCGGGAATATGGAATAGTGATTTAGGGACAAAGGACCTGGGTTTGAATCCTAGCCCTGCTCCTTAGTATGTGAGATATGATGAAAGCCACATATGCACTATGATATTCAGTTTTCTCATCTGTAAACAATAGAGTTGCAAAATGATGAAAAATTACTTCTAAGGTGCCTTAAAGGCCTAAATCCTATGGTTTTATGGTCCTAGTATAAAGAGTATTTGGATCTGGAGTGCAAGAACCTAAACTTGAATCCTGGCCTGTGCTAAATGCTAGCTGTGTGACTTCAAGCAAGTCACTCTACTTTTATGAGACTCAGTTTCCTCATCTATAAAATGGTAATAGTCATACCTGTACTACCTAGCTCACAGTAAGGATCAAACGTTATAAAGTGTAAAACACTTTGTAAACAAACACATAAAAGTTGGCTATCAATTACTTCAAAGTTACAGATAAGATAAACTTTAGTTTAGTGTAAGGAAGATCTTCCTAATAGTTAAAGCTGTCCAAGTATGTATGGCAGGTAGGAGGCGCTGTGGACAGAATGCCAGGCCTAAAGTCAGGAAGACTCATATTCATGAATTCAAATATGACCTCAGATACTTCCTAACTGTGTGACCATGGGCAAGTCACGTACCTCTGTTTGCCTCAGTTTCCTCATCTGTAAAATGAACTAAAAAAAAAATAAAACCCAAATGGGCTCATGAAGTATCAGGCACAATGGAAATGACTGAACAATAATGGAAATGGACCTCTCCTTATGTGGAATGTTGAAGGAGTGTCTGGATGGTCATCTGTCAGAGGTGTCCAAGTCAACAACCAGGACAGCAAAATCAGCAAACATACTAAGCATCTATTACGTGCAAGGTGCTGACATCAATGCTAAGGAGGTTCCAAAGAAAGATAATATATAGTATATGACAAGGAGATAGGTGAAGAAGTAAGATGTTTAGAAACATACAAAGTAAGGTATGAAGATTAATAGAAGAGAAAATTCTATATGGTTTGAATAGGAAGGATCTTTTGTAGTTGAAATGATCAGGAAAAGCTTTATGGAGAAAATAGAATTTAAAGAGGGCTTTGAAGGATAGATAGGAGTTTGACTGATAACAATGTGAAGGAGGTATATGGCAGGCTTAGGTGAAAGTCGAGAAAGCATAGGATTTGATCAATATGTTGTACTCCATTAAATTCAAGATAGGACTAGATGACCACTAAGTGCTCTTCCAACATAAAGATCTAAGGTTAAATGGCCACCAAATGGTGCCACTCAAAATGAAAAATTTTAATGTTCAACTTAACTCCTCACTCTTAAATACATGGTCATCTGAATGAGCATGTCCTTTTGTGATTCAAAAATGCCATAGAAGGCAGCTAGATGGCACAGTGAATAGAGCAAAGAACATGGAGTCCAGAAGACCTGAGCTCAAATCCAGCCTCAGATACCTACTGTGTGACTCTGGCCAAGTCACTTAACTGCTATCTGCTTCAGTTTCCTCATCTGTAAAATCAAGATAATAATAGTACCTACCTCCCAGGGTGGTTGTATTAAATGAGATTAAAATTTGTAAAGTGCTCTGTGAATCTTAAGCTTTATAGTGGGAGCCAAGATGGCAGAGTAAGAGGTGAGTCTCTCTTACTCTCCCTTATTAACCCCTGAAAGCCCAGAAAATATCACCCCAGGAAAAACCCTGGAACAGCTGAACCAGAAGAAAGATGGGGAGCAGCAGTCCAGTAGCCCAGGTAGCTTGAGGAATTAACTAGAAAGGCTCCTCTTACCTTGGAAGAAAGAGAGCAGTACAGAACAAGAGGC